ACATACTGCACATTCAAATGTAGTCTGACTATAGCAAGTTTTACATGATAGTCTCTGAAGTTTTCCATTTCCAAAAACATTCATATTTAAACTTGGTGTTTTATCGGAGTTTCACACTGTCATAGTTTCTTCTGGGAGAAAATCCAAAAAAAGTTATTGGTTTAGAAGCACAGTGAGTTGGCTAGCCGATGTTCCCATGGACCTGAATGGTATTTCTGCTCAAGGCGGCTGTTTTTTTTTACAAAGACTGAGAGGTTGCACTATGGAAACTAAAGTAAACAACATCTATGCGAAAGTGTGGACGCCTCAGGTCAGTGGGCTGTAGATCAAATTTATCTTCTGTATATTCTTCAGACAGAGCAGAGAAAGGAGAAGGAGGAGAGAGAGAGAGGAAGAGGAGGAGGAAGGGAGAGAGAAGTGAGAGGGTGAGGAGAAATAGAGGTGTCATATTTCCTGTGTTGATTATCCGCCACACCCTAATCCTCTCTCCCTCGGTGTACTTGTAGCCTGTGATTTTCTCAGCGGTTCTGTCATTTATAGGGATAAGGATAAGTCCAGTAAATTTTTGTCATTTTTACCATACATTTTTTCCTATATTTTTCTGCTCCAGCTTCTGGCAGCTTTCCCAATACCGTCCCCGACTGTAATAGACACATTTTGAAATCTGTCTTTTGTCAATCCTGGGTCCACTTTCATCATGCCTCGACAGCTTCACCCAACCCATTTTTTAAAACATGTACACAAATTTTATCATGTTCAGTGGATTTGTGTTGTACATACTTATTATCATGAATTACTCATACAACCTTCTCTTTCATCTTAAGAAACTCACCTACAGTAAATGTGTTTGTGACAGTGGTGTCCATAAAAAGCTGTCAGGGTTCACAGTCTTCTTGCCTGTTAAGAAAATATATATCTTCATTTAACCTATAGGTCACAGCATCCATTGACAACTGAATCAATAGATGACTTGCTGAAATGGCTCGGGTCTGTGGTCTGAATGCTGGGGTTTGTCATCCAATGTATCATCATATAGCATCAATATGACCTGAAAACCTCCTTATCGCCCCCGGCACACACTGGCTTTAGGAGCATTCTGAACATATATAAGCATTCCAGGCTCAAGACAGCTGTATACAGGATTGAAAGCTAAGAAGCCATGGCCAGAAAGAAGCCAGCAGTGTGGAGAATAGAGCGGACCAGCTTTGACTTTGTGGCCAGTGCAAGGTCAGTGTGGACAGGGCAATTCTAAATCTCATTATTGCTCAACTACAGATTATTTTTGCTCCATTATGGGATGTAGTTGCAAACATCGTCACTGCAAAGATTCCAGTAGAAAGCAACCTTTTTTTTTACAAAGTCATGAATGAAGTAATAGGTTTTTCTAAGAGAGAAAATGGCATGTAGCAGCCACAGATTGTTTATATATGAACAATGCCTTAACCCCCCAAGCTCAATGAAGCCCCAAAGGGAAGTGCTCATGGACAAAGTTTAGCTCCTACTCAACCTGTCTCCAATTGACTTACATAGAAATGGTAAAGTAAACTCCTCTAGCTCAGAAACTGCGCCATAATCACCATAAAAAAATACATCTGTGGTTTAGGTGTCTGTGGTCCTGGTGTTTACATTTTGATATTGTCTTTGGTCATATCTACTCCTATCTGGATTTAAAATCAGATTCTTTCCTTTGCAGGGGAAGCTCTCTCTAGATTTTTGTAGAATCCGTCTTGGCAACTTGTCTGCTCCTGTACTGCGCATAGCTAACCCGGTCAAAAAAAATCCCATTTAAGGAAATTGGCTTCGACTAGCTTATGTTCAAATCTTCCTCATTCAGTACTAGGCCTATGGTAGGAACTGACAACCTTGAAACAATCTAATATAAGAAGACAAAAGCTGTCATGAGTGCCTAATATTAACGTCCATAAACCTCCAGAGAACTATATTTATGGAAATCAAAGCTTATTAGTTGATTTTGAAGAGTCAAATGGAAAAAACTCTTTTTTTGTCCTGGTCATTTAAATAGTGCAGTTCTGTAATCGTCCAGCAGATGGCGAACATTTCTATTGTTTTAGTGCAGCGGTGGCCAACCCGTGGCTCGTGAGCCGCATGTGGCTCTTTGGCTGGTTCCGTGCGGCTCTCGGGCTTTCACAAGCGTCAAAAACGCCTCGGTGGTGGCGCTGCCATTCATTCTCTATGTGGTTCTGACCCATAGTAAAGGCCGACTTCACTCCACTAGCCGGGCCGCCAAAACAATCTGACGTCGGCGAACGTCAATTCTGATTGGTCAGTCACTCTGCAGCTGCTGCCTCAGCTGTTGCAAATATCATAACAAACAACACGTTGCCTCGATCCATGACGTCCGTACGGAAAACAATTCCTTGGTCGCTGGATGAGGGCAACACCTTCCTCAGTTTGAGGAGAGGACACCAGCGTGAGCTCGATGGTTCCATCAGAAACCAGAAGGTGTTTGTGGAGCTAGCACTAAGGACGGAGCAGAATGATTCCCACAAACATGACAATGCAGAGAAAAGTTAAAAAGCTTAAAGGAATAGTTCACCGTTTTTACATACTGACATATGTTCTTACCTTACCTTAGACTAGTTAATACGTACCTGTGTGATCTTAGTCCGTGCGCTCTGTCATGCAAACGGAGCAAAAACGGGAGGACAAATGCAGCCTCCCCTGTATACTGTGTAGCACCAAAAGGTAGCTCCCGCTAGAAGCTACCAAACTCTCCAAGTGTTCCCTATTAAATGTATATAGTTACGTGACGTGTTACACTGCAAAGTATAGTAACACAGAAATGTAACTGTCGATTTTCTCAGCGGATAAAACGGGTACTATATTGTGAGGCGTAGTAATCTGAGGTGCGCTACGTCCGCGCACTAACTTCTCTCCGGAGAATTCTCTCTCGCTCACTTCCGTCAATAGAAGCAGCGTGACTTGTACACACAGTAGAAGCAGAGACATCGGATAGCTAGCTTGAGGACAGTTGAGGCAGCATCAAGTTTTAGAACGAAAACTAAAAAGAAAAATTTACGATGGCGGACTTTGTGGATGAGGAAGAATGGTTTACAGCGGATCCAGAGGCATATCTTTTTGAGCCTGAATATACAGAGGAGGAACTAGCCCAGATGGACCATGAGAGGGAACAAAGACAAGAACGACTACAGACTGAAGCCATCGAAGAAAGAACACGGGCAAATAGCAATTGGTGGTGCAAATGTGACTGTTGCGAAAAGATGCCGAATGAAATTGAGAGTCTGTGTTGCTCCGAGTGGGACCAGGTGTTACCATCGGCCACGGGCGCCATTGTTCACCTGGCAGAGAATGGACAAAGGACTTGTGTCACGGCGACAGATGCGTTTCAAGCAATGATTCATGAGGCAGTAGTCGACTTTTTCTTTCGCCTGGACAAAGTCAATTGGAAAAAAAGACCCACACCAAGTGGACCCGATGGCCAGCTATCCCCAGAGTAAGTGCTAACTGAAACCATTGAAATATGCCATTTACCATGTTGTCATTTATTATCAGTGCATATACTTAGCATATCCCTGTTTTCTGAGTCAGAAGAGGTTGGTGTCCTACCGGATCGTCCTGGAATGGGCCCTACAGGGTGAAACCTTGGGCAGAGGCCATCGCAAACCATTGCCATCCTGTGTGGTCTGGGCTATAAGGAAAAGATATACGTCGGAGTCCAGTGTATATATTGGATACAAAGACGTAGAGGAAGCAATGGACATGTAGGCCTAATAACTTGATGGAATGTGCTGGGCACTTTGCATGCTATGGACATCTGTGGGACAATTGGACTGCTGCTTGTGCCAGAATACAAAGCTACTTGTGTTCTAGCTCCTCCATAAATATCTGGCCTGCTTCACCTTCACACTCCGTCTCGTCTCCTCTCCATCCCCACAGTACGAATGGTCACTATGGGGCCAGAGCTTTCAGCTACTCTGCCCCAAAGCTCTGTAACACTTTCAACAGCCCCTCCGTCAACTGGACTTTTAAATTTTAAAAATCAACTCAAGACCGTCCTTTTTAAATCTGCACATGCACTGTGATTTTATGTACATTTGTATTTTGTGTTAATTGTAAGTTGTCCTTTAGTGACTTGAAAGGTGCCATAAAATAAATGTTTTTCTTTTGTATTATTGATTTCCCACTATCATTGTACATCTCTACCCAGAGTATGCTCATTATGTTCCATTGACAGAAATGTACTACCTACATTTAAAAAAAAAATTAAAGCTTTATATGTAAAAATGTATACAACCTTTAGAGTATGTCTGATAGTTATTCATTCATCTTTATCTTCAATTGCGTTGTAAAAATTGTGAACGTCTGCATGGAAAACAAGTGACCTGTCACATTTTTGGTACTATAAGACAAATCTATTTGAATATAAAAACAGAATACCTACACTTACACAATACATACACTGCCTTCTACATGTATGTCAGGGGTCAGCAAATGCATAAAGGGATATTTGGTGCTGAAGGTCCAAAGAAATTGAAAACAATGTGAAAATAATGTAAAAATTTATCAACAAACAAAAACAATTGAAAACGTTTACAGTAACCATGGAAAACAAAGCTGTGCAGCCGAAAGTCTGGTAACGGGGAGATAAACACAACAAGCGTAGAGCATAGAAGCAAACACACGCACACATTCTGATACATAAAAACAAGTACAACACCGTTCCGGGTTTTTTCTACGGGGTAGGTTGTAGGCGGCAACCAACTTAGTCTTTCTGTGATGGACCTTTAAATCTTGAGGTGTGTGACTGTACGGCCTCCTCTTTATTGGGCTTTGGTACCGATGCAATGTTTGCAGACAGGCGAGGTACTTGGATATGGGATGATGTGTCTTTGAATTTTACTGAAGGGTCAACTCTTCTTTTGAGCACGCTTTCCATGAGGTTGTCTCTAAACATTTGTGTTGTCTCCGTATATATAGGTTTAGAAATCCATTGCTGTGAGTGTTTTTTGAAGGCAACATTAGTTCTTGGATGGCCTGGAATAAATAAACATTGTAAGCGAACATGCTCAAAATATAGAACGTTTATTTCTACTTTCAAGACGTTGTCACACATTTGTTAGGACTGTGTCTTTCAAGCATCTTTTTAGAAGTGAAAATAACACTAGTTATTTATGTCTGTGCCATATATGAATATCATGTTCATATATGGAAGTAACATGTATGTTACTTCCATACATGTTATATGTTACATGTCATGTAGTACCCACCAGCTGCTGTTGTTGCTTGTTCCCGATCTGCGTAGTGATTCTCATTGTGATCCATGATAGCAAGCATAGTGCGTGCCTTCATTGATGGGTAGTGAAAATGAAGTCGCTTTGGACAGTACTTCAATAGAGCATTGTGAAACACCTCAAGTTGTCCTGAAAAATAAAACAAACGCTTTGAAGTGGAAAGAAATAGCAAGAAAAGTTGTGTTTTTTACTACTTCTGTGCCATGACCGGTGTAACATAACCTACTCTCACGGACACATGCATGACTTTAGCCATATCATTATTATTTTTGTCCAAATCTTTGATACACATACCTGTATGTTTGAATAGTGTCATCTGTTGTAGGTCTTTCAGCAAACGTGTGTCCATCATCATTGACTTCAGGGCTTGGAAGGAAGGGGAATTCACTTTTAGCCACCTCTTAGTTCTCTGTTCCTGTGCAGACAAATCTTGGTGGAAACATTTGTATTCCGTGCCATTCTCTTCCCAGCGATGGACCCCAGTGATATGGTGTTGGAGAGACATCCATCGTCTGAGCAGCTCCTGAGAACATGACAATAGAGGCACACTTTTAAATACCTGTAATACAATACAGTTTTCTTTCATGTTGAAGAGCTGTGGGTTGCTGTGCATTATATCTAGAAAATCACTTGAGCGGTGTCTTTATACTTGAGTACCTTTTCATCTCCTTTGGAGGTGCAACAGCTCCACCACATGTGGTTGCTGACACTCCGGACCCAAGGAGCAAGATCACTGCAATCCCTCCTTTTGGATGCCGCTATCAATTTCTTTTTAAATCCTGAAAAATGTAAGAAAATCATAAATACGGTTGTTCACTTATTTCCTGTGGTAAACGTTATACCAGCGTTTCTCTTTTCATTGCATAGCCTAGGGGCCAACCATTCATTTCGACCATATAAGACACATTGTGATGTTTCAGTTTCGTTTGCATCCATCTTGCACAATTTTTTTTTATTTATCATTACCAAAATAGGGTTATTTGAGAACAACAAGACAATAAAGAAGAACAGTCAACTAACCTTTGGCCACATGCCAGGGATCAAACTGATGTATTATATTAGGATATTCCTCTCTCATTATTTTGCGTATTGATGGATGCCGGTCTGTGGTGACCACTTTTACGTCTATGCCCTCATTCAGGATCTCTTCCAGGGCTTTCTTGAAGCACAATGGTTCCATTGCGATAGAACTTGAGGCCTGAGACACCTATAGAGCACAAATGTATGGATGATGACATCTACAATATAGTATTGAATCAAGCTTTGATTATTGGAAGATAATAGGAAATGTTACCTGCATCAACTCAAACCCAACAATCTGTTTTGTGGAGTCATCCATGAAAGAATATGTGGTGTATTTGCTGGAATGCCCAGGACTGTCACTTCTGCCATCACCACATAGTTGCACTCCCTCACCTTCCTCGGATTGTAAAATCATTCTTGCTTTGATTATGTCCTCCTGTTGTATGTAGGCTTCTTCGATCACTGGGAGAAGGTAACTTGACTGTATGTTATAGAAAGTTGTTTTCTGGGGCAACTGCAAGTTGAAAAGTCCAGCCCAGTCTGAGATGTCGGTATATGTTGAACCAGTAAAGACAGTGGCAGCTGTTGCGAGGAGGTTAATTTCTGCCATTCCACGTACATTGGGCCAGGATTCCCATTGTCCCATATGGCCATTGTTGCATTGCCAATTTATATATATTCTACTGCCAAACTGTGTTATATTTTGATTTAGGTCACACATCGCAGAAACCACACTTTGGGCAAATCGAAAATAGCTCCAAGAGTTTAGACTCATTCACTATCCACTTCCTCTCCTGGAATCCTCTAGGTTGGCTAGAGAGGCTTGATGAACTTCCTGTGGTGGAGGTGGAGGGGCTGGAATCTGGCACAAAGCTTATTTCTGCAGGATCAAGAGCTGTCTCTGAGGTCATGCTGACATCAAACACAGATGTTGCGCTCATATCCATCGCAGTTGCTCCAATGGGGTCTGGTTCCTGTTTTAGACAAATAAAAATATGCATCGACACTAGGGCAACATAGAGTTGATCTTGATTATTATCCTTTTTTATTGCATAAGTCATGATATTATTAGGCCAATAAATATAGTTACAGTTACAAGGTTACAGGCAGAGTTTGTAAACCAGTAAGGGCATGCTATACCAACAGCCATATAAGCTTACCACACAAATCCAAACGAGAGTACTAAGTACTCACCAAACAGTCTATCTTTATGCATATCATGGCATTGATATGAATCCACACTTACACTCATCCCAACACAATCCTTTTCCAACACATACAGTGGTGCTTGGAAGTTTACATTGCCTGGCTGAATAATGTTAGGATTTAAAAACAAATGTGTAAAGAAAATTGTAATTTACTAAAATTATTTTTTGGTTAATCACTAATAGCTAGTGGTTTGTGTGAAGACATTTATAAAACAACTGAATGTGCACTTCTTATATAAATATGAAAAGAAAATATCCCAGATGACCCTGATCCAAAGTGTAAGATCAATAAGAATGCACCAATTTAGCTTTTGATTATATACATAACCTTCTCCACAACTACCACAAATGACTCCAAGCTGTCATTGATGCTAAAGGGGGAAATACACAGAACTGGGGTGTGTAAAATCAAGATTAGGATCTTTTTTGCTGTTTTTTTATATTTAAAAAAATAGTTGTATAAATGGCTTCGCACAAAACACTGAGTGGAAAAATAAAACTGCTACAAATTATAAAAATAATATGTAAACTTTAAAGCACGACAGTATGTTTTCACTCACCCACTCATATTTTGCATGATGGATCATCAATAGCAAACACAGGAGTTCAATAGAGGTCACTTACCGCATATATTAGACTTTTTCGTGGACTACATAAGGTGATCATCGTAGATGAAGATGTAGTGTTCTATACACAAAACAGTTTTCTAGTAAATTCAAATGTGGAATCATACCGTGATGTGAACATTTTAGATTCATTAGCCTACCCATAGCTTTGTCCATGTGGGAGCCAGGAGAACCGCTGGTTTGGTAGGTGAGGGACTGGCTAGCTTTACAGCAAAGGGCACTTTGAATGTAGCTGTAGGCTCATCAGCTTTGTGCTTCTGGGGAGTTGAATGAGGAACACTCTCAAAAAGGGTCTCATCTGTTTCGGGCAGATCTTGCAGTAAGTCTGTCAAGTTGACCTGTGTTACAATTAACACAATTCAGACAAACGTTACAATCCCAAGATTAATTATAACGCAAAACTAGGCACTAGCACAATTGACAGCTTTTCCAACCATCACAGTAAGAAAGTAGTGTTACAGAACATTACATTAGATTCATTTGATTTACAGACGGACAGTAGTGTAATCAGTGCTTCACCTCTGATAAACGTACCCCTCCCCCAAACCATTAGTCTAGGCAGAGAAGGTTTGTGTATTGGTGACACCGAAATGGTGTGTTAGGATACTTCTTTGCTATTTATGAGCTCAGACGTCATGCAAATCACTCGGTAATTTATTTTAGCACGTCTCACAAGAGCATTACTTTCACAGTGAAGTTATAGTAAGTGCTAAACGGATTTTACTCCGCTCAAGTAACGTTTAGATAAAGTTATTGCCACTTCCAACCAAAAAATATAAGGACACTTACTGCGTCTGATGATGATGTTCTTTGTTGTATACGTTGTCTCAAAGTCGTCGGTGTGGCTGATTTCTTTAGGCGTAAACCAGACGAGGTATAGTCCTCCTCTTTAAAATGTTCCGAGCAAACACGCCAATCCTTCAAATCTTCAAGGTTTGTTGGATCCATCTCCAAAGCATCGAACCATTTTTTTCGTTGTTCGGGGTGACTTGGAAATCTATGAAACATTACTACACTATATTCTTTCTTCTTGCGATCACAACCCGGCACGATGCATATAAAAGGCATTTTTCACACGTTTTCGTACTAAAACTTGATGCTGCCTCAACTGTCCTCAAACTAGCTATCCGATAAGTCTCTGCTTCTACTGTGTGTACTACAAGTCACGCTGCTTCTATTGACGGAAGTGAGCGAGAGAGAAGTCTCCGGAGAGAAGTTAGTGCGCGGACGTAGCGCACCTCAGATTACTACGCCTCACAATATAGTACCCGTTTTATCCGCTGAGAAAATCGACTGTTACATTTCTGTGTTACTATACTTTGCAGTGTAACACGTCACGTAACTATATACATTTAATAGGGAACACTTGGAAGAGTTTGGTAGCTTCTAGCGGGAGCTACCTTTTGGTCCTATACAGTATACAGAGGAGGCTGCGTTTGTGCTCCCGTTTTTGCTCCGTTTGCATGACAGAGCGCACGGACTAAGACCAGACAGGTACCTATTAACTAGTCTAAGGTAAGGTAAGAACATATGTCAGTATGTACTCTGGAGCTTGTCAGTGTCACTCAGGCGTCCTTGGTAACATCGCGGCCTCGTACACTGCGCCTTCTTATTCCTGCCCCGAGTCCATGCGCCTTGTGTGCGGCGGGAACTCGGGCAGGGCTCCAATCACTCTACGCTGGCTGATGGGATACATTCCCGACGGCTTTAGAATTGTTAGTTACCTAATGTAACTCAAGTTCTACGAATGGTGCGTAGCCCCTTAGCTACGGGCCCATCAAAAGCATGGCTTTGGCAGAGTTCAAAGTGGTTGGCACGGGCCGTAGAGGGCTATTTATAGCTGGGACTGGCAGGTGATTGGAGCATTTAGTTCTCTCTGGCGGGAAGCAAGATGCTTCCGGAGTATACCCATAGCGAAGCCTAAGGGGCTACGCACCATTCGTAGAACTTGAGTTACATTAGGTAACTAACAATTCTTCCCTCTTAGCTGAACTTCATTCTCATTGTTACCATCTGTCACTCGCACACACAGCCGTTTTCGTTCACTCTGCTCGCTGTCATCTTCTTCTAAATCTTCATAAACACCATCCGCTCGTTGAACTAGCAACAACAATTCCTCCTTTCATTTTCCCACACTGCAAATACCCTTTCGCTTCAACCTTTCACGCAATTCAGGCACTGTCAATCGCTTGTTGTTTTCGTGAGCCATATTCGCCATTGTATGAAATCAACCGGAAGTGAACTGGGCAACAAACGGTGTCATTTTTTGATCACAGCGCCGCTCAGTGGATGGAATTTTGGGAGAGCAGAACGCCCGAATTTTGCAGAGTTGCTATAGAATGGCATTTATTCAACTTTGTTAAATGCTGTGTACTGTAAATAAAGACATTTCCTGCGAAGGGATCTTGTTATACGAGTAGGTGCTTGCCAGTGAAAATAAACGTGACAAGGCTTTTGGAAATAACTCCTAAACTCAAGAAACCTAGGTAGAAACAAGAACAAAGTCAAGCACAAAGCATCAGTTTAACTTAGAGATGAAAGCTGCATATCTGGTTGAACATCTGCTATGGTTATTCAGTGCTATTGTTTTAGGGGAAACATTGGCCCTTCATGTGATAAATGACTTGTGGCAAAATCTAATTTCTCCCCCAACATGAAGGCCTTTCTGTTAAGAATCATCGTGTACTAGTTCAGTACCCGGAGTAACTGTTTTTCTCTGGGGAACAGATTTTGGATGGTTGTCAATCAGTGAACCGGTCTTCCCACTGTTTCAAGTTATGCGAAGTGGACCAACAGACCAATAGAATTTGTTATTGCGTGTTATGCGTTGCAGTAGTAATCATTGTATATACTTTATTGGTTATGCAAAAAATAGTACTACTAGCTTTTAGCATTATCAACTTTTAGGTGCCAAAATAGTATTTTTGAAAATAAGTACAATTGTCTCTGACTTGATCCAATCATAGAAGCATCAGAACCAAAATTTCAATATTTTTAACTGACTCTAAGACAAGTGCTGTGAGTAAAGCCTAATGTTTCAGTATCGGTACTGAAAATAAAGCACTCCATACTCATACTGGTTTTAGAAAATTGGTAGTGATGTAATGAACATCTATCGTCAAACAATAGTCATCTTTCTCCAGCACTGAAATTTAAGTCATGAACAGCTTTTCGTTTTGTTTAAGCTCACAGATTTGCTGTCTCATATCTGATGATTATATTGATGTTTTATTAGATACGTGTTCCTGATGGGGCTCCAGGATCGCAGTGAGAAGCTCTTCTACAGAGTGCTCTCTTCCAACATCGAGCGCTTCATGCCTGTCATCTACACCCCGACAGTGGGTCTCGCCTGTCAACAGTACGGCCTCATCTTCAGACGGCCCCGGTAAGTAAACCAACACTGTTTACTTTCTCGGCCGTTCTTACATTTTGTTTTCATTACAATCCCAACAACATCTGCTACTGCTGGTTTAAGATCTTATTATTTCCATCCTTCTAACTCTACTTTATAGTTTTGTTGATAGGATGGTTTGGTCTAATAAGCGGAAAGCTACAATTCCACACCTTTGGGCCTTTCTTTTATTCACACAGCGTAGTAGAGAGCTTAATTACAGGTATGGATCCAGTTAAGTGGGTATGTGGAAATAAACTCCAAAGCATGTTGTTACTTATGCTGTTTTTTGTACAATATATCCCAGTTACATCCCTCATTGCTGCCACTGGGAAGGCTATCAGCAGTCAGGACAAGGAAAGGAGCTCTTTGAAATATATTTAAAATTAAAATGTGGCATCACCTAAACCCATATGCTCTATTTTGGTATTGCCTGTCAGTAATGCCATTAGCCTAATCTGTATTTTGTGGTTGGCCATCCAGATGGAGTTTGGTTAAACAGCTGAGCTTGAGGCAAACCGCTGCAAGCTGTTGAAATCAGTTCACCTTGAGTGGATTTGGCTCCTGTTAGGCTCTCCTCTTCTACTGTAAACATGCTTCACTCGCACTCAGCTCCCAGCCAGTCCTCCAGCCCCTTCATTAGAGCCAACAGACCACTCTGTTTGACAGGGTTCAGCCTAGCATAGCATAGTGTTGTACTTGGCCCTGCCTCTCTACATTTTGCATCACTCAGGTGGCTACAAGTGTTGGCTTTCCTTTTAATAAGTGCGAAACAGACCACCCTGATCACTCCTCCACAGTACTTAAACCTTACAAAATAAGGGAAAAATATAGTCTATTGTTTTATTACTATTTGCAGTTTTGGTGTATGCAAAATATTAGTTATCAGCTAGATAAATTTCCATATCTGCTGCTCCCAAATTGAGTGGGTTCACAACGGCACCTGTACAGTTTTCTTTTGGCATCCACAAAGTATAATAAGTTCTGATAATGGTCACCTTGGGTACAATAAAAATCTGGAAACTCTCCTTTCTTCCTGAACACTCTTGCTGACAGCTCCATCACCCCGAGGCCTGAACAACTATGTGGAAAAGTATTCCTTCCTTGCTTTCTTCTGTCTCTCACTCTGTCATCTCATATACTTTTGTTGTCCCAAAGGGCTTTGGGCCAAGATTCAAAGGAGGTTTGGAAGATCGCCTACTCCTGCTTGTGCTACCTGCTAGCTATGCGTTCCATTAGTTACTACATATTATAAGTCATTTGAATGTCTTCCAGCTTACTAAGTTTGTGTAAGCTCTCAGTCGTACAGGGATTAGTCAAAGCAAAGGAAGGTTTCTCACCCATCATCTGTACTTCTTAGCAAGTTTTCCCGACGTTTCGTCCTCAACCTAGCGGACTTCTTCAGGGAAAGACTTCTTCATTCCCTGAAGAAGTCCGCTAGGTTGAGGACGAAACGTCGGGAAAACTTGCAAAGAAGTACAGATGATGGGTGAGAAACCTTCCTTTGCTTCCAGCTTACTAATTCCTTTAAATGTGGCAGGAGCAGCGTCTGTAGTGACTTGAACTGTTAATCTGCCCCAAGACGCTGCTCTGTAGCTGGGGCCAAATGTCAAGCTCAATTTGGTGTCAAAACAGGGTTGATTCAGTGATCCCCGAGCGAGGCCGAGACAGGGAGGAGGGTGAGTAGAAAGCCCTACATTCACCGCAGGAGGAGATTAGTAGACACGCTGACTTTTATTGCTGTTTAAGCTCATAAGCGCACACATTGTTTTGGCACAGAAACTTACTGTGTCTTCATACAGGTTGGTTTTTGTTTTCACCTTAAATGTAGGTTGTGCACTTTGTTTGACAGCTCCAAACTCACTGGTGATAAATGATAATGTTTTGTAGAGGGAAAATGATCCCAACTATTGCATTAAAGTAATTAGGCGTACTTGCATACTTCCAGTGTCTGCCTTAATGCTGTGGTGAAGTTCTATCCAGAGTCTAAATAAACGTATAATAGGCGCTTTCTATGAGACAAACTCTATCAAGGGGCTTCTGGGGGAAAACTGACAGAAACAGATTTATCATACAGATGGTGATAGATGATCTTTGCGAGGCATTAGTGAATTCCTGGTTCAGGTTGACTGTTCAGCGCTTGTGCGTGCAACTACTGCTGCCTGTCAAAATGTGGAAAATGAGACATACACACCGTTCTTCACTCGAGAGATGTGGTGATGTTCAGAACGGATCCGCTTTAAAAAAATAAAATAAAAAAATAAACACATTTGACATACGTTAAGGAAGGTTTTCTATCTAACTTTCAAACCTAGAATAATGGAACCATGTAATACAATCCATTTAACTAGTCCCTCTCTCAAAACACTAGGGGTGTCATTTGGTTTCACACCCATGCACTTTCTTTTAGATTAGATTTTTCAGACAGAAAGGTGAGAAAGAGAAGACCACTCTCACTCAAAGCATCAATTAATGACTCACTACTTCTGGTAGGAGAAACCAATTGTATTATTTATGGAAGAAAATAAAGGTAGACACTCCAGATGTAATGTAGATAACAAAATGCATTTCAAATTAATCATTGGTAAAACAAGCAAAACTGAAAAATGTATTTGTGTTTTGTTACATTAAACCGAATGCAAATTGACTTTGCCTGTTGGTCCTTTTTAAACTATTTCTGACCTGTGGCATGTATAAACTCGGTGATCCAAAGTGTATAAGAGATATGTTTCAGTCCGGCTTTAGACCCCACCACAGCACTGAGACTGCTCTCGTCAAGGTTACAAATGATATCCGGCTGAACACTGACGCAGGCAAAGTCTCAATCTTAATCCTGTTAGATCTGAGTGCTGCCTTTGACACTGTCGACCATGAGATTCTCTTACAGAGACTAGAGGACTGGGTTGGCGTCGCTGGCACCGCCCTAAGTTGGTTTTTCACCTTTACAATCTTCCTGAAGATGTGAGACAGGCCTCCTCTCTGACAATGTTTAAAACCAAGTTAAAAACGGTGCTGTTTAGCTGTGCATACAACTGAGGGATTTTATATTTTTATCTTTCGTTTTAATGTTCTGTGATTATTTATGATTTTAATGCTATCTTGTTCAGCACTTTGAGTTGCCTTGTGTATGAATTGTGCTATACAAATAAACTTGCCTTGCCTTGCCTCGCCTATAATAGTAATGTAGATTGCTTTCATTCACTGTTGTATTTTTATCTGACATCAGAGAAATACTTTTCATAAATATAAAGCCGATTTAATAATCCATATTTTCTTTATTAAATCATAGTTAGGAAGAGACAGTTTAAGTTACATTCGCACTAGCTGGACGGGTTCACATTAACTCGACCAAATGCTTCACGGACATTTTTTGCCCCAAGTGAATCAAAAATCACTTATCACATCTGGTAGAGTCCCACTATAAGATAACGTCTATTAAACTGTGTGCTTTTTGAATTGCAGTGACCTAATTGCAACCACAACTCTGGGGGATAACCACTTTTTCCACTGAGAATTCTCTTGGTCATTATGACTGATTACATGACTGCAGTTGTGTACTTTTCTCTGCTTCTGTTGGTACATTTTGGTTGACTTCAACACAATGATATTCAGCTGTGGGAATCATTTGAAACGGTATTGACCTTTGCCTGAAAACCTTTGGCATTATTTTTATCACATTATTGTTATAAACTACCAGTGAAGACATGCAAAACGCCCAAACATATAGCTGCCAATTCAAACGCAGATTTTGGTGAAAATTCTGTTGCAGATTTGTTATACAGAACAATAATATAGTCATTTAGTGTGTAGTCTTTCCCGCAATAACTTGCTAACCTCAAATCTATTGGCTTGCTTGTGTCTATTTGTTTTATATTCTTATCTTATCTAACCCTTTCTTGAATAAAAACCTCAAAAAGCAGTTAGGATTACTCACTGTCCAACGTAATGCAGCTAAAGACTATTAACTGCTTTTTCCAATGCGTTTCTCAGTCACCATCAGCAAAGACCTAAATTACAGAGCACAGATCCTTTTGGCTGCTCTCCTTACCGTCTCCACTGGTTTGTTTGGTTCACAGCAACATTTATATTATTTCTCCATCCTTCTGTTGGAAAAAGTAGAGATATTTGTAGAGATTTTGTATGTGTCTGATGACCTGCGCCTTCAATTTGTAAACCTGTAATTAGAGAAGGACATACATTTTTAAATGATTTATAAGATCCTTCCTGTCTGTAACTTACATATTGTTATCCATGCTTTTTAACAATGCTATTTTGACATAATGTCTGGAGCAGGGGTCTTCACAACCTTTAAAGTGGACGTGGATATCAGTGCATCTGCTTTGTTGGTCCTGTCATGGCTGAAATGTGTCAACCTACGGTCATTGAGCACTCATTTCTCCCTGACCCTGACTGTTCTCATGAGGATTGCAACAGGTTGGATTTGACAGTGTTTGAGATGAGACTCTGTATGAGACTTTTTTATTTGTAATTCAGATATTATGTCTTTCCTTTGAGTGCTGTTTTATCTGCTCGTTTTGAGTTCTATTATGGGAACAAATTACGAATAATTTCTTTGAAACTGTGACCTAGTTACCATAGAGTCGTGGCATAGCACATTCCACTCTTAATATCTCAAAAATCATTCATTAACCACCATTAATCTCTCCTATCTGCAAGATAAAACTTTACAAATGATTACCAAGATCATTGATATAGTTTGATTGATCAAATATATAAGGAAGAATTGGCTCCGCACTCTTGCAGACATGTCTTTCCTGCTAGAACCTATTAGCGCATCACACATTGTGTCCAAACTCAAAGTGTGACGTATTGTATTTACATTTCTCAAACATAAGTACATAATCAATCTTTGTTTGAATAATTTATTGCTTCATTGCGCAAATGCTTTCTACCCCAACAATGTCACCCCGCCCTTTTATGGTCCGGTTTGTTGAACTCTCAAGTGCTTACATTAGAATGCACTGTTGATTCAG